AGGCAGAACTTTCTGATGCCAGGAGCACATGAAATAGCTCTAAGAATTGGCAGGTACAAGTCCTTAAGATTTACAAGCTCACACAGAAAAGGAAACTATCAGAAGTGAGAGCAGATGGCCTCCAGAATAGGAGAAAGTATTTCCCAGTCATGCTGCAGACAAAGGCTCAGTGTCTGGAATATATAAATAACTACAAAAATTAAACACCAAAACAAGCAAACAGAAAACCCTACTGATTGCTAATGGACTGACAGGACGGGCAGTTCTCCAAAGAAGGAGCACAAATGACCAGCAAGTACTTAAAGGGCTCTGCATCCTGATTCATGAGTGAAATGCAAATTTAAAGTACTTTGCTCTTTTACTTCATCCAGTCAGAAGGGCCATCCAGTGGCTGGTGGAGGTTTCTTTACAATAACTCACATATGGCCTAACTCCATCTTACCCGGACACATACCCTAAGGACTCCGTGTCCTCCACAGAGATGTTTGTACATCCCTGTTTATTTCTGCTTCATTCATAGCAGCAAGGAAGTAGAGTCAGCCTAGAGATCTGTTGACAGATGGATAATGAAAAAATGTAGTGTATATCCACAGTGGAATTTTATTTAGCCGTAAAGAAAAGTGAAATTTGCAGAATAAATGGATTGGTCTGGAAATTATTCTATGAAGCAAAGTAACCCAGACTGAGAGAGGAAAGAACTGGGGCTGAGGGGGTAGGCCATAAAGCCTGAACAGGGACCACAAATGGGAGAAAGAAGTTGTGTGGAAAGGAGGTGGGTAATGAAACACATGTGACATGAACATGGGGGCAGCTGAGGGTGAGAGGTCACAGGAAGATCAACAAATTATGTTCGATAATGCCAAAATGAAACCTATGACTTTGTGTACTAATACCTAAAGTAATAAAAATTTAACAGAATCATTTGAAATTTTGTATTTCCCAAACTCAGCAGAAAGCCCTTTGTAAAAATAGAATACATTACTGCACAAAACTTCATAGGACACAGCAAGAGAAGCCACCGTGACACAGAGGTCCCCATAAGACACAGGATGAGAAGCCACTGTGACACAGAGGTCCCCATAAGACACAGCAAGAGAAGCCACTGTGACACAGAGGTCCCCA